AAACAGGAGATAACGCACTGTATTTTCGTTGATTTCCAACGCTGGAGAATAACGCTTCATCTCAATGCAACAACAAGACATTGTCGACAACGCGCCATTCACATTTTGAAGAGAGCATTGTCATCAAACAAATAAAAATACCCATTGATCATAGCGGTATCTTGATAGGCTTATTGTCCATTGTTTCAAAATATACCGGTACTATTAGAATCACAGAGTGTCTATGAATCCTCCCCAAGACCCAACAGCTGCTGGCCCACTTCCCGATGTTGTAGCCGATGCGGATGATATCCAAAAGAGTACACAAAGCTACTTTCAGGATGGTGGGGTGCCGCCTGCGAGGAGTCAACCTTCTTATATCAATAATGTGGCCAGAGTTCGGGCTCCTTCTCGCAAACAGGATGGTGCTGTACGTATTTCTATCTTGTCTTTCCCTCAATGCCTTGACCAAAACGAGAAGACTGGATCATGTATGTATTTACCCTTATCCCTTTATTCTTTATCCTTTCTATTCATACCGGTACTGTAGGCATTGGCGAAAGAAGCTGGCTTGCCGGAGTTTCTATGGGACACCCAAAGCTCCAAACGCAAACGCCAAGGTAGTACTGGACCTAACAAACAACGAAGACAGCGATACACTAAGGAACACAAGCAAATGGTCGTGGACTATTTCATTAGTCGACCTGGATCGAAGATTGGAGACACGGCCAAGCAATTCAATATTCCGGAAGGAACCGTCCGAGGTTGGTTTGATGACGACCGAAAGCGCAAAGAGACATCAGCGATCTTGGGGGGCGCTGATATGGATACTTTACATGGGGTCAATATGGACGAAATTCAACAGAGCATCATGATGGATCCCACTCCGGCTCACATTGGAGATGGGAACCCAGCCAATGATTTGGAATCGCCTGTGGCTGCTCCTGCACCTCCCCCTCCTCATCCACCAGCTGCCATGGACAATAGCGTAGCGGCTGCTGCTCCTGTTGGAACGGTTCAAGTGGATCCAATGACAGGTGCGACCCTTCAGCCGCCCCCCGCACAATTAATGGCAACGACTACAGCAACTGCCGGCGTCAACGAAGCTCAAGCTCCGGCTTCGCTGCCAACCAATGCCAATGCTAGTGTCGAGAAAGAACGTCCGCAGAAGCGAAGACGTCAGCGCTACTCGAATGAAACCAAGATTCAAGTCATCCTGGCACTCGAGTCAAGAAAAGGTAGAAGTTTGAATGACATTGCACGAGAGTACAATGTGGCTTCCGGAACGGTCCGTGGATGGAGAGACGAAGCCGACAAGATTCAAAAGGCAGCTATGGAAAGTCGACGGGTCGGTGCCAAGGCCAATCCATCGCGTGATCCACTCAAGCGTATTTGGAGTGCCATATTGGGGCTATTTGAAAAGAACTCCCTCTTGCCAGAATCCCAACAACTCGAAGTCAATGTGGCCGTGGTGCGGACCATTGGCACCCAAGCTAGAGATACTCTCTTGTTGGCTCATTCTCGCCAACCATTCTTGACTCCCACGGAAATTGCTGCCATGGAAAAGTTCAAGGGAAGTGAAACTTGGGCTCGCAAATGGGCCAAGGATCATCAAGTCTTTACCAAGAGAAAAGAAAAGGTGCCACAATATGATATGGCCTTTGCCCGATTGGAAGAACTGCAAAAGGTAGTGGGTGCCTACGACGCCGAATGTGTCTATACGGTAACCACCATGAGTCTCTTCTTCCGTATCTTCCCCCACCGCGCCTATGTGACTCGCTTGGCAGAAACGGGCAAACGAGTGCGAGCCTGCAAAGGTTTGAAATCAAAAGACCGAGTGACGTTATATGTGTGCAGCAATGAAGACGGTACTGACAAGGCGCCCATTGCTTGCATCGGAAAGTATGACAATCCTGCTTGCTTTCGGGTCGAGCAGCAAAAGGTCATGCCCTACTTTTCTCAAAAGAATGCCCTTAGTGATGCTAGTACCTTTCAACAGTGGTGGCGAAGTGTATTTTTGCCACATATTCGAAAGCTTCACCCAGATGGGAACAAGTGCTTGTTGTTGGTGGAATTGGAAGGAGACTCTCGGGCCGAGTTTTTGAAGGATCCCATGGGACAAGTTCGCGTAGAAACTTTGCCAGTTGCTCCGGAAATCCTGGCAAATGGAACTCCCATCAAGAAGAAAAAGAAGAGCTTCTACGAGAACAATCAAGGTGGAAAGGAACCATTCTTTCCGCAATGCCAAGCTCTCGAGCATGAAATCCTGGACACCATCAAGCGACGATACCGATATCGTTTACTGCAAGAGGTGATGGAAACGTATACCGAACGTTACGACCGACAAAAGGTGGCCGACACTGCTCAGTTTCCTGTCAATGCCCGTGGTTTGCGAGAAGGAAGCATTCCCAATTTGTGTGACTCGATGAGACTTCTGTCCATGATTTGGGGTGAAGTCGCCCAAACTACCATTGTCAGAGCATGGCAGCGAACCAAACTTCGACCGAGACCGCAAGGTGAAGTGGAAGATCCTTTGGGTGGCCTATCAATTGCTGGAACTGCTGACGGACAAAAGAAGCAGCAACAGCGGATCAAGAGTGAAAAGAGACAAAATACACGGGAGAAGAAAAAGCTGGTAAAGGATCTCACCACGTTCATGACAGAGAATCCAAATCGAGCGGAGCCTGGAGTGCAGTACTCTGCCTTGGAAGACTCGGTATGTGCATTGGATTTCGCATGGATTAAAGTCAATCAAAACAAGCATCTAACTGTTTCTTTTGTTGCATTAGGTGAACAAACTGAAGAACTGCTGTCTTTACATCGATGGAGGAGTGGTGGAAGAAAAGGAACTGATGGACACAGTCGAAGACTGGATCGGCTTGGAGACCAGCGCCGAAGTCAAGGCTCTTCAAATGGACGAAGTTAAGGAGGAAATGAACATTGATTTCTTGTGCAACATCCGTGAACCAATTGAAGGCGCGATTCCAGAAGCCGACGAAGGCGAAGATCCAGAATTGGACGAATGGTTGGTCCAAAAGAATGCGACTGCTGATAAGCCCGCCGAAGATGGCTCTGTCAAACAGCTCGATATCCATACCGCGCTTAGTCTGGCCAGTTCCATCAAGGCCACAGCCACCAAAGTCTTTGAAGAGGGAAATGCTTTGGGAGGGCTGGCAGTTCAATTGAATAATGCTGCCGACTTTGTCTTTGAATTGCTCCGACAACAAAAGGATGCAGCCTTGGCCCGAGAACAGCTAGAAAAGACCAAAGTCCAAGCCAAAAAGAATGCAGCAGCCCGAAAGGCAAGAAAGGCAGAGGAAGGATCTACCGCAACAGAAGCTGCTGTGGAGGCCCCTGCTGCCAATGTTCCATTGCCGGCACCTGTCCTTGCCCCACTTCCGCAGGCACCTGTACCAGTTGAAATGGCCCAAATGACCTACACCACAACGGGAGAGCCCCCCGTACCAGGAGACAATCCGTACTTGGTGACGGGAGTGTAAAGTATGTATTGAATGTGAATTCTATGTTAATTATTTACTAGCCTTTTGGTACACTTTTTGTTTTTGTTTGGAAGGGCGTGGTGTCATATGTCAAGGGCAAATTCTAGGTCTCTCAAATTCGTTTCATCTTTCTTTTTCTTCTCTTGGTCCTTGTTCTTGCTTTGTCCCGAAGACAGATAATCCTTTCGACAGCATGGGCATTCACTGTGGGCCATTAACCATGGCTTCAAGCATGTGGTATGAAATACATGATCACATTCTGGATTTTTGGACCAACATGCTTCGTCCCCCTCTTCAAACGGCATGATACAAATAGGGCAGACGTCTCCTTCTTCAGTCTCACTCAACTGATCTTCTTCATCTTCTAGAGTTTGCCTGGTTGAATTCGGGGCAATTTTGGATGTCAGTTGTTTCCACCGTTGTATTGCCGATTGTCGTGGTTGGTGGGATCCACCAGCATCAACTTTTCCAATCGGATTCTCCACGTCGGAATGTTCACCATCTGTGCTACTTCCTTCACTTTCAGCACTCTTATCATGATGTTCCTGTTTTCCTTTGCTTTCTCTTTCTGGCCCGTCTTTTCCAACCGATTGAGTCACTAAAGATTGCATAATCAATCGGATCCGCTTAATGCTTTGTTCCGTTTGTTGCCTCTTGTCAAAGAACATGGTTCCACAGACTGCAAACCTATATACGACATTACCGTATGCAAGGAGTGATGAGCTGACTAGGGCAAAAGCAAGAAAGAATCCAAGTCAACAATCAAGAATTAAGATACTTACAGGAAAACCAGAACACAGCCTAGAAAATACATCATGTCCTGTTTCAATTGTTCGGTCACAGCATCATCATGATCACCGAATGATGATGATGAAGTCAATAATGTTGTTGGCTCCAATGTCGTTTCATTTGTAAAGTTCATTTCTGTTGCAATATAGTAGTAGTGGAAGCATGCAGTCAGCCACGCCTAGACTTCTCGTCCAAAGACGACGCCCTTCGTGGTGGCTGCTGTTGTGATGATTTCAATAAGGCGAAGCCTGATAACCCTCCCCATCAGATTTGACATCCGCCGCCACCAAAAATGAGAAGGCTGAGATTTTCGAAGCAGGAGTGTGAGTGAGTCGGACACATTTTCAATTTATTGGCTCTAGACGGACAGATTTCATGGCTCTCCGCTTCTCCAATTGCAGTTTATATCTTTGGCGCAGCTGTTGATTGATTTTCGGATTTGATGCTGATTGGCGGAGAACTGCATGCCAGAATGAATGCCTCAACTTGAAACTTGAATTTGGAGTGTAATTCTTCTAAATGATCCGTTCGACTCCTGGAACGTTCTAGTTCGGAGAGTCCCAACGGCAGCGGAAGGGATCGCTGACATGACAATTTTCCGATTTTGCAGTTCGTCACACCATATTCTACGACCCGATAGTATTTTAGTATCACTGTACAGTCTTGAAAAGGGCGATTCCGGAAGTTTTGGTGACACCATCTTAGTTGCCATACAAACAAACATGACGGAAGTAATGCTACAAGTCATCACGCTATTATTCAGGGCAATGTCGTAAGTGTTCTCAGGCGCAACAGAGTTGGATGATGTCACCAATAGCGATTAGCAACAGTGTTCTCACCCTTCACTTCAACGAAATTCTGAATTCTGGTTCGCCGCTTTTGCAGAATGGTGTGCATAATATGGTTTGCAACTGTCGCCGGGGTCATATTAACATTCCTATTGAATCTAGAAAGGATACGGAGGTTTAAGGATAGATCAGTGAATGATGAGGATAAGAAACGACGGAAACTAATCCGAAAATCAGTGCACAGAGTCAAATTTACCAATCACTCGGCCATGCATATGCTGCAACGGAGTTCGCAGGATCCTAATACCATTGGAGAAAAGTCGGCGTGCCAAGAAAATGATTGCTGTGCCATTTGTTTAGGTGATTTTAGCCGAGGGGAACGGGTTTGCTTTTCCAAAAATAAGGCCTGCGGTCATGTGTTTCACTTGCACTGTGCAGAAGAATGGCTCATGCGACATTCGGAGTGTCCCTGTTGTCGAGCGTCATATATTTTAGACAAGGATGTCGAGCGAGAGTCCAAATTCAGTTCGTTCATGACGACATGTGCCTGCTGGATTTTGTCGCAATTGATATTCCGGATAGAAGTATTGTGGGTGGCAATAGTCTCTGTATTGTATGTACAGCAATTTGCCAGCGGACGGGAATATTTTGTCTGAGACCACAAACAAACAAACAAACAACAACTGTAACATGTGTGCCAATGCTTGTAATTTATTATAATGTATACCTTTATTATTTTTTCTTCTCGTGCAATACATGTATGAAAATGCTTACTGTTGCCATGCGTAATAATCCGGTCGCAGGATACTGTCAGATACCTCTAATTTCCGTGAAACTAAGTTATTTTATAAAGTACATCCAATATGATAAGCTATGAATGCACAAAAGACATAGATACAGTTGTTTTTACGATACCAAATGAAGAATGAACTCGGAGTCCGGAGATTCATCCAAATCTTTATTTTGCAAGGCTTCCGCTGCATCATCCTCATGACTACCAACATAGCTTGGCCGAAAAAAGACCCCCGAAAAGAGGCCGTCAGGTGTTGGAGGAGCGGGTACTGGCGATACCTCTGTTCCTGTCGTTGCGGTACCAAGAAAATAAGTATCAGGTGCAACCTCAACCCTATCGTTTTCCTCGTCTTTGTTTCCATATTGGGCATCAGCGCCAATGCTCGAATCTTGTATCTTGATGGACAACGATAAATGGGGGTCGGAGGATCTCACTTTGGAGGATCTCACTTTGCGCATGAGCATCTCATGGCGATAGACATCGTTCAAATCTTGGTTGCTGCTACTTCTATCAGAAAACAAGCTGGCAAAGAAGGATGACCGTACCTGCTCTTGCTCTTTCTTCTCGACCGTTTTGGCGAGTAGTTTAGATTGAGTTTTCACCGATGGATTCTTACTTTTTGAAGTGGACATGGTCTTGCCTTTGCGATGTTGTGGCTCAGACGAGTGTGTATAGATATTGGCGTTATGTAGTTCCAGTTGTTGATTCGCCCCAAACCTGTGAGATTCAGATTCATTTTCTACCTGTTGCGGAAGATGATGATCAGGATCGAGTCCATCACTATCACTTTCCGCCGTGACCGTGTTCCGGGTTCGAGAGCGTGACGCAGCTTCTTCGGAAGCGTCTCCGATGGCTGCACTGGCAACGTCACTGCCCACTTTTGCCTTGTTTACCCTCAATAAACCATTCAGGCCAGTAGAATTCTCATCCACAAACGCTTCCAGATCGTCTGTGGACAGTTCCGACAATTTTCTCATAAAGGTCTCCAATTCGGATTTCTTTGGATGCTCCTTCTGAATCGGCCGCACTCGTCCGTTCTCCAACTCATCCCGATAGAGTTGGTTCAAGTCCGTATTCGCATTTTCATCAGCACCGCCAAGGAAAGTAGAAAGCATATTCCACGGTGAGTCATCTCCGCTCTTCTCTTCCCTGTGCTGTACTCTCGTCTCGTGTTGTTTCATGGCCACTTCTAAAAATTCAAACTGTGGATTTTTCGCTGGAAGTGGAAGACAGGATGCGTCATCTTCAGATGAACTTTTCCCTACTATCTTGGGATCATCATGCGGCGTGGTGCTTTCGTACATCATTGTCATTGCAATTTGCCGAGCAATAATGATAGAAAGCGTGAAACACTATCTTGTATGATGCGCAGTACAAGTATGTTACCGGTGATACTGTATGTTCCAGTGACCGTGCACACTCTTGGATCGATTTTTTTCAAAAACCAACCCAAAAGTTACGACCCCTAAAATCCACCACGATGTACTCGAATGAATCAATCAATCATTCAGAAGCCATCATGAGGTACAGTAATAGCACCGTGTAGTTAAAAGAGACGCGGGACGATTGATTGATTACCGTGCAATATTCATACAGTATGTTGTTCCTCGCCTCTCAGAAAATTCTTTTCTTCATCGATTCATCATTCGTGTACCGGTAGCTGTCATGGTAGTTGAAATGCAAGCATTGTAATAGTGTGGAGTGCTTTGTATTTTGTCTGGCGGTTGGCTCCGTCATGCATATTGCACCGGTTTTCGTGGTTTCTGAAAGCAACAGTACTCTTAGTGTACTGGTACCAGGTACTGTACTGCCTGTGTTTGAAGTTCTGCTGGACCGTGTGGCAAATCCGGGCATTTAGCGAAACCGAAACCGCCAAACCCGACTATAGGTTGTGAAACGCGCGCTAATTACTGATGACGCGGTAAAACTGAAAACTGTTTTCACACGGGGATATCCTGGAAATCCCGGGGAAAAAAGGGAACTTTTAGGGAACTTTTAGGGAACTTTTAGGGAACTTTTAGGGAACTTTTAGGGAACTTTTAGGAACCTTGAGAGATTTTTTTACGGAACTTTGGGAGATTAATTAAGACTCCCCAAATGCTATCCATGCCATTGGCATCGGTTTTGGACAATCCAATGCTATCAACAAGGTCAACAATGAATACTGGAGCGATTGATAATGCTGGGCAATAGTAGTTGAAGGATTGGAGAACCAGCGATGCGAAAAAAGAGCCTATCAAGGACAGTGCTGGAGAGACACATCACCGAAAACATGGACCCAAACCATGTCTACTAGCAGATGGGCAATGGCGTACATTCGGCCAAAAAGTCTTGTTTAGAACAAGGTCTTTGTCTTCGCTCACTGGATGGTCACATCTATTATTCAAGAAACCGACAGCCCCAAAGTTCTCGAGTTCAAGATTTGGGCTAGAACTCGGCGGCAGGAGAACTTCAACGAGATTGAAACGTTTTGACACTATTGGAACTCGTTTTCGTTATACTATGGACAAGCATGAAGTCGTTTACACTGACTTTCTCGTTTTGATTCAATACGATATTGAGAATGGCCGTCCTTTGAATAGCGTCATCTACTATAGTGCAATTCTCTTTTATTTGTATAGTTTGTCTTTTGAGGGAATATTGTTTCGCAAAAGTTCCCTGAAAGTTCCCTGAAAGTTCCCTAAAAGTTCCCT